TTGGGACAGGGACAGTAGTGGGTGCTGGGAGAAGGGCATTAATCATGAATCTGATGGACATCTAACTCCCCAGGAGGTGGGACATCAAAGCAGGGTAGTGGTCATGAATAATGGGAAGTGAAATACAGCCACTTAGCTTAGTGGCAGTGGCCATGAGCATTGGTAAATCCAGCTTCAGGAATGGTGGGCTTTCTAAGTACGGCGACATTCTAGAGTTGTGCCGAAGCCAGGGTACCCAATCTCAGTTTAGTTGTCTGAAAATGGGAGCAACGTTGGGAGCTCACTGATACAGAGTGGAGAACCATCTCCTTGGGGGAGAGGTGAAGTACCACTCACCTCTTTTGTTCTTCAGTTGTCTCCGTTGCAGACAGACAGCATGGCTACGGTTTGCTGTTGCTCAGTGGTTCGCGTGGGGGGGGGGGTTGCGGAGGATGGTGGTATTGAAGCAGGAATTAACACCATGCTATGAGCCAGCTGTCTCAGCCAAGCTCTTGGAAGGGTGAGGAGGAAGGATGTGGAGCAAACTCAGGAGGCTTGGGCAGTCGCCATAGTTACCCAATCTCCAAGCCCATCTTCTGAGTATTTCTGGGCTTTCAGCCTCAACAACTAACCCTGAGGATGAGACCAGGCCTGTGTTGGCAGTCACATAGGCACGGAGGATATCAGAAACATCCTCACCAACGTGATTGTTGCTTTACTGGGATAAACATTTCTTGTGGTCAGATAAAGGGCTAAATATCCTTGATACCTTCCTGTAATGGTAAGAGCCCTCTCAGCAGGATTTTCTCTGAAACCCCTTTGAGGCTATGGAGATGGCTAAATCTGTAAAGTGCTGGATCTAAATTTGATCATCAGAACCCATGGGGGAAAAAACTACATGTTATGGCACAGACTTGGGAAGCTAAGACAGGCAGATGCCCAGGGCTCAGTGCACAGCCTACTTGGTGAGTTCTAGGCCATTAAGAGGTCCCTGTCTCAAACAACTATATACATCTAGTGTTATAATCTGGTTTTTCACATGCTTGAGTATGACACACACACACACACACACACACACACACACACACACACTCACACACTGTGCTGGGTCATTTCATGTCACAATCACAAGCTAGCCATCTGGGAGGAGGGGACAGAAATTGAGAAAATGCTTCCCTATGACAGGTCTGCAGGCAAGCCAAGCCTGCAGGTAATTTTCTTAATTGGTGATTAATGGGGGGAGGGCCTAGTCAGTTGTGGGTGGGGCAACCCTTGGTCAGGTGGTCCTGGTTCTGTAATAAAACATGTTGAGCAAGGCAGCAAGCAGCACACCACCACGGCCTCTGCATCAGCTTCTCCAGATTCTTGCCCTGCTTGAGTTCCTGCCCTGACTTCCTTCAGTGATGAACAGTCATACGGAAGTGTAAGCCAAACAAACTTTTTCCTCCCCAAGTTGCTTTGTTCACGGTATTTTATCACAGAAATAGTAGTCCTGACTAGGAGAGAAAGTGGTACCAGGATAGTATTGTGATAGACCTGATGGTGGTGTTTTGTGATGAATTGTGGGGGGACTGGAACTTTGGGCAAGAAAAGCCATTTCATGTTCAAAGCTTGGTGAGCAGTTTTGTGGGAGCTTTGGGAGATGAGAATGCTGAGTGCAACGAAGGCGATAGAGGTCTGGTTTGTGAGGTTTCAGAGGGGAGTTTAAGAGTCCCGCAATGATTACCACAGCTTTTTGGCTATTTTGGATTATGAGTCTTTGGTTCTGGTCAGGTGGGACTGAAGAGTCAACTGAGCTTAAAAGATACCAGAACTACTGAAGTAATGAAACCTTTACTGGGACAATCCGTGCTGCTGCTTAGAGGGATCTGAGAAATTGGTTGTGATTAAGAGGAGACCAGCATTGTTGACCTCTGGGAAGTGTTCCCTCAGAGTCAGCACATGCAAGCTGTGTGTAGAGGTGGCCAGGCTTGTGCTGGCAGTCGGACTTGGTAGTAGTGTAAGAATCTCCCAGGTGATGCATTTTTGAAGGCACGTTGCTCATGGAAAACAGCTGAAGCTTGGCACGGTGAGAAGCCGGGAGAGGTCATCAGTTAGTGAAATTGCAGCTGGAACAGCAGTAAAAGCCCCAGGATTTAAGGGGCCATGGAGAAAGTGGGGGCCTCAAACCATAGAGCACAGGAGAGGGTATGGGGGAACGTGCAATCCAGCTGTAGCAGAAGACGCCAGAAGTTTGGAGGTGCCAGTACCATGGGAAGACAGCTGAGAAACAGGGCCGCCAGAAAGTGTATGTAGGAGACAGACGAGCTGTGTGTGCTGTAGAGGGTGGATCTGCTAAAGCGAACCAGGTCCTTGGAGGAGCCCAGATGATCATGAGTGGATATACTAAACACTGAGTGATTCACACTGTTGGGATTTGTTTTCGATGTGATTTGATAGTGACTGTGCTCAGGTTCTTCCCTCCTGAAATAAGTATTTAATTTAGTTTATCTTACAAGTGTATAACCCTGAGATTAACAAAGAGGGAGAGGTCATGGCTTTACAGTGATGCATGTGTGTCAAGTTGTCAAGGGGTCAATTGTGCTGTATAGTTTTGTGTCAACCTGGCACGAGGTAAATTCATCTGAGAGGAGGGAATGTCAACTGTGGAAAAACCTCCTGCCATAAGCTGGGGCTGTGGGCAAGCCTGGAGGTCATTTTCTTAATTAGTGACTGCTGGAGAGGGCCCAATCTATTGTGGGTTGGGCAACCCGTGGGCTGGTGGTCCTGAATTCTATAACAAAGCAGGCAGAACAAGCCAGAAGGAGCAAGCCCATAGGCTGAACTTGTCTGTGACTTCAGCATCAGTTCCTGCCTCTGTGTTTGTCCCTGTTTGATTTCCTGTGTAGACTTCCTTTGGCAACGAACAGCGATGTGGAAGTGTAAGCCAAATAAACCAAAGTTGCTTTGGTACTAGCATTTCATCACAGCAATAGTAACCCTAATTATGGCATCCATGCATGTGTACACACACACACACACACACACACACACACACACACACACACACACACGCATATTAATACATTCATACAAGCGTTTTTTTGTTTTTGTTTTTGTTTTTGTTTTCTTCCACTGGGTCTGCCTTGAGTCCAGAGAATTTGGTATGTAAAGTCCCCTAGTGGAGGGGCTGGAATGGTACCCTCAAGGGATGTAAGCTAGCTTCCTTATGTTCACCCAAGCAGCTGACTGCAGGGCCAACAGTAACTTCAAAAGTAGCACGCTGAATAATCTGGACGCATAAGATGTATTTTGGGGTTGGTGACCAGGCTGTGTCCAGGGCACAATGTCTAGTGTGGGAGGGAGGGATAAAGTAATAGTAACAAGTCTGATTCAGGGACAGCCTTGAATGCCAAGCCTAGAAGGGTGTTGTCTCTATAAAATCTCCCAAGGGCTTCAGTGACACTTCTTACTTTGCCAGACATGAGTGATCTAAGCGAGAGACTTTTAGTACTTCTTGGAGTTCCGTGGGTCAGTCAGGCAGCTTTCCAAAATGACTTGGCTGTGTGGAAAGGTTGCCCCTTGTCATGCGTCTCAGCTTCCAGGGGGCTGTGCTCAGCCTTACCCAGATGTCATGACTCTAATGAACAAGACCCCAAGGTGCAAGCCTCTCCAAGCTTCTGCTTCACTGTCATTTACCAATATCTCATTGGCTGGAGAAACTTCTGTCCCCCGGGTTAGGAGACAGCTTAGCACCATGGAGAGCACAGCTAGAGGGACTGGCAGAACGATCTCCCTCTGAAACCCAGGGACATTTGCATGTTCAGAAGAGTTGAAGCATTGTACACATTCCCTGGGTCTGTTCCCTTGAGCCAGACTTGCAGGGTTTGAGGGCCCTTCATTGTAGCAGGTGCATAGGTGCTTGTGAACGTTCACTGCAGTCCATTCCCTGGTCTAGTTGTGCAATAGCAAGACTTCAGCCCAGGACTCTGGGATGTGGGCTGTGCCTGAGACTGGCCTCTGAGAACAGTAGAGTATGCACACTACACTCGTGATGAACTCAAGCAGGTACAGAGGTTTCCAGTGTCCCAGGAGCTTTAGCTCGTGCAGTGATGGCATGACACCCACTTGTGAGCACTGGCCACTGTCCTTGCTGAACTTTCAAGTTCACTATCTTCATACAAACCTCCAAGCAGGGGTGTTCTGGGTAATTGATATGTTATGACCACCACCTCAGTTGTGTGTGCTTTCTGAGAAATAACTGATTAGCAGTGGGTTGGTGAGAAAGCCTGCTGCTGTTGTCCTGGGAGGGTCTTGTGTGGGAATCAAAGCAGGAATTAATCAGGGTATCTGTGTGATAGGCAGGAAGAGTGAACCCCTCTGATGGAAGTTCAGCCCAGGGAGGGTAAAACACCCACCACAATTCCTTCCCATTTGTTTGTCTCTGTCATGTTCAAGATCCCAGTGCCCACAGAGACAGAGGCCCCTGATTTGCATATGGAAATTGAAGTAGGGAATGGTGAAGAGTTAAGACTCAAGAGTTTACTTAATTGCAGAGTCGGAGACCGTGGACATTCCATTGTGTGCTGCCTTTCCACAGTTCCTGGTTTTTGCTCATTGGAGGAGTATTTGCTCTGTGAACAATAGTTATATATCTCCATTCTCATTGTCCATGCATTACCTAGCACTTGGTACCATCCAGCTTTCTAATTTTTTTACCACCAAATCAGTGTGTGAAAAGTGGAACCTTTTCAACAGTCATTTTCATTTCCCTTCAGTTCAGGAGATGCTTTGTGTGGGCACTGACTGTCTCTCACCTGGGAAATGTCCCCTAGTATCTTCCCACCAGTGACTGAGTTGTTTATTACTATTTCTCTCTTTTACTAAAATGGTTATATTCTATGCTAATCTGTTGCCAATTGTGCATTACAGATAATACAAATATCACTGGCTTGATGCTAATATCTCTTGGAGAATAAGTGATCCTCAATTAATCTTATAGTTTTCCAACTTGTATATTTCATCTTAAAAATCCATTCCTAATCGTTTTTTGGTTCGTAAGAGTGAGGATTGGAGATTCACACCACTGCATGATATTATGCTGCCCATTAAACCTTGTTATGATGTGGGTGCACTACCTGTCTGACATAAAAAAAAAAGGAAAAGGAAAGAAATCTATTCCCACCAGAGGATTGTAATGGTATTTTAAAACATTATTTTTTTTCCCCAAATATAGTGGTCTTCATTATCTGCCAGGAATTGTTTTCAGAACTCCTTATGTACAGGAGCCTCATGGGTATCCAGATGCCTTTTATACATCAGTGTAGTGTTTTTATGTGACCTTACACCTCCTCCTGGGTACATTAAATCATCTCTAGATTTAACACCTAATACTATGTCAGAGCTGTGTCAGCGGTGTGTAGGGAATGAAGATGAGAAGACTCTTTGCATGTCCAGTGGATACTAATACTGTATAAATAGTTTTGATTCATGCTGGTTGAACCCATCAATGCAGAATCCAAGGATATGGATGGCCAACCAAATCTTATGTTACCATTTAATTCGCCATGTCTTTAGTTCCTCTGTGGTTGGTTTCTGTATAATGAGAAGTAGTGTTCAAATTTTTTCTACTTCTGGTTAATGAATATACCCAGCATCTTTTACTCAACTCTGCACTTTTTCCATCATACCTCTCCCTGACTGTCATGTGACAGTAGTTTTCTTGGGGGGGGGATGCAAAACACATGTCTACTCATCCTAGAAAGGGAGCCCACAACAGACCAAAGTCCAGGGAGTTATATTGAGGGTTACTTACAGAAATATGGGTAAGGCATAACTTATAGCAGCGGAAATGACCCAGAGACAGCTGAGTGACCAAAGCCCATGCTGTCATGGGTGCCAGCTCACAAAGCTGGGAACCTGGAGCCCACTGCACAGCCTGCAGGCAGCTCCACAGGTTAAAGAGTGTTCTGAGTGGCTCGTTTTGCCTAAAACTTTGCACACAGCTCAGCCTGTTTCTGCTTCCAAGAAGCTGGTCTGGTTCCAGAGTCGTCTTTGCTGCTTGGCTTGTCTGAGAGGGACTCTCAGCTGCTTAATTGCTTATCCAGGGAGGGTGGGGGCCTAGCGTGTCTTGTCAGTTTCAGGGACTTCCTGAAGCTATCTTAAGTTCTTTACCTTCTGAATTAAGGAGCTTCCTTGTGTGATGGAGTGTCCAATCTGGGGGGAAACTGCTACGTAGAACTCGTATACCAGTCTGCACACTTCAGTAGGTCGTTGGCCTCTCTCAGGAGTCCTGGCATGAATGTAGAGTGTTAAAGAGTAACTGAAGGGTTACTCTCTCTACGGAGCTATGAGAAAGTCATTAGACATACCGTGTGAATCTTTATGGTGTTGTGACATGCTATTGTGCGTAACCTCCCATTCGTGTTCTGTAAGCAAAACCCAGTAAGATCATTGGTTCCCAATTTGGGCTTTGGTGAAATTGGACTTTGATCACCCTCAGTGCCCTATCTAGGGGGGATGGGGCAGGAAGGTGTTTGTGCCCCCCTCCCATAAGAAAGAGTTTATGTAACAGGATCACAAAGGAGATCTATAAATAAATATAGGGGTTGAGCCTAGGTCCTATCAACTGAGATTCTTATTCAGCTGCGTAGGCTTGTTAAAATCACAGTTGACTTTGTGACACTACAGATGTGAGGTTGGAGGCAGAGGTAGGCATATCTAGCCATCTTATTGGTAAGGCTGAGGATGTGGGACACTGAGCTCTCAAAGCTGCTGGTCAGGACATGGCGTAAAAGAAATTCCCTTAGCATGCACAGGGCCAAATGGCTGATGTCATTCTAGGAGTGGGGGTGTCATGTGTCCATGCAGATAGATATTAAACAACTACTTTGTACTTTTTTGGAACATTTTTATTTATCATTTTTGTGTGCTTTTCACCTATATGCATTTCTATATGCCACACATATGAAATGCCCATGGAGTCCAGGAGAGAGTGTCAGGTCCCCTTGGACTGGAGTTACAGATAGTTGTGAATGCCATGTGGGTTCTGGTTATCAAACCAAAGTCCTCAGTCTGGAAGAGCATCCAGTGCTTAAAATACTGAGCCATCTCTCCAGTCCCAGTCAGGATTCTGTACTTTTTAAAATATGTGATTTCATTCCTTTAGCCCAACAGCCTGAAGGTAGGAATGTTTAGCCTTTACTGTCCCCCTTCTCCCCAAGGTCAAGGTAGAAAACCAGAAAGGTGACCCATATAGCTGGAACTACACTGGAATCTTCCCAGAGTGTCATCGGCCCTCATTCTTGGGAACCCAATGAAAGCCACCACCACTATTCTGTACTCACTCTCCTCTCCATTTGCAATCAGGCTTTGCCTCTGATGCCAGATGAATCTTGTTGAGAGGTTCCTTACAGTCCACAGATTCTGGGCTGGTGGAATAGCCTTTGCCCTGCTGCAGAGTACAAAATGGTTATTTAGCCAGGGTATCCTAGATCAACCTGATCTACCAGACCCTAGACTCGGGAAATGATTCTACTTCAAGGTTTGCTGAGCAGAACGTTATGGGGATCTCTAGAAATTACAGAGGACATTTCAGGGCTGCACCTTTTCTCTGACAGCTTTCAAGCAAGGTTTCAGAGGGCGGTCTGCTCTGCCTGTGAACCTAGTCTCACCCCAAATCTAGTCCCTTCCATTTCTCACCTCCCCCACCAAACAAAGGCACATCTTCTCTTCTGTACCCATCACACCTACTGCAATGCAGCTGCCATGCAAAATGCTGTGTTGTTTTGAGAATCACATTAAGAAAAAAAAAGGTCCGCACATATTTAGATGCAATCCATCCCCAAGGTCTGTCTATGATTGGCTGAACCTGTGGATGTAGAATGCAGGGTATAGAGTGTGGATATGGAATGGTAGAGATGTGGAAGCTGAATGCACCCACGCCAGGCTTCTCTGTACTTCTGAGTCCTCTTTTTCCCAACCGTTCACCAGCCATTCTGAAGTCAAGCTGGCTTGCTTAGGTCTAAGGCCGTCCAAATGGCCATCCTGTCCATCACTCTCCCAGTCCAAAATGGTCTGTTCTTGCAATGCAGCCACACTGCACAGATGCAGAAAATTGTATGATTGAAGTAATTTGCTCTTGAATGTGAATGAGGCCTGATACTGAATTTGAAAGAGGTGCTTACTGTTCCCAGTGAGTACGGAAGAATGCAGGGAGGGACATCAATGTTATGGGCATTTATTTTTTTTGCTTCCTTATCTGGATGGCCAGTGGAGACTAGAGACAACACCATTGGTCTCTTGCTAAGTCCTACATCTCCCTTCCCACATTTATATCTCTTGGAGGCTTACTTGGGGGCCCAGAGCTAACTGAATACAGGAGGCTGTATGTCTCAGATCTGGATGGAGATGTTCATGTTGAGTTCCTGTTCTCATAAGATTTGAGTTTTATGTCAAAATCCACAGAGCTTGAGTTTGGAAGATTCCCATCAATGGTATTGTCAGCACAGGAGTTTCTTTCCTATAGAGGTGAGACTTAAGGGCCACTAACGGCAAGGATCTGGTAAGGGCCTGAGGCACTTGGCTTCACAGTTGTGGAGAAGAAGCCTCACCTGCATGCCTACAGATAGCCTTTTCTGAACAAAGGGGGTACAGGAATTATTTTTGAAAAGCAAAGACTGGAGGGACCTTAGCAACTGAGATAAAAGTATCAGTCACAATGAAACTTCTATTGCTAGAGAAAGTAAATGACTCAGGGAAGTAAAACCTTATCATATATCCTAAGAACTATGGGCTGACCTGGGCTTCTCAGATGTTCTGTAAGGAAGCTCTCACCCTGAACCTTATATAACCAGATTCAGAGGCAAGATCCTCGTAGCAGTAACTGCAGTAAATATCCATCAGTGTGGGCTCTGGTGATTCAAGTCTGCCCAACCTATGGCCCACAGCATCAAGCCAGGGATAGATATGAATGCAAGATAGTAAACGTACTTGAAGTGTGTGTGTGTGTGTGTGTGTGTGTGTGTGTGTGTTGTGTGTATTTTTCAATTGTGGTTATCAAGAAAGATCTATACAGATGTGATTCTGCAGATGTTTTGTGTTATGATAGTGAATGGCTGAACATATCCTTTTTTTGTTTTTTGTTTTTTTTAAGATGTAGTTAGGATACAGATACGTAAGGAGACGTAGGAGGAGCCAGCCCTGGAGACACCTTGACCTTGGATTAGAAGTATCTGTCACTGAAACACTTAGATGTGTGGCACACTGCCACAGCAGCCTGAGTAGCTTGGGGGATCTCAGTGTATTAAAGTGTAGAGTTTTGGGCCAATAGAGATTTCACCATTTGGTTCATTAGCAGCCATCTGTCGCTGCTCTCTCAAGTAGGTAGATCTCAGCTTCCTCAGTATAGCCACAGGCCCTGTTTCTACTTTGATCCCTTTTGTCTTTCTGGCTATCTAAGGCTTGGGTGAAAGGTGACGAGAAGAGGGATTACAGCCCCCACCTTCAGTGTCAATCTGCAGAGAGCAAGCATTGATAGAACCCGAATAAAGGGGTCACGATTTACAGAACTCACTGGACCGATAGATGGCCTGCTCCGGGCATGTAACAGAGATGATCCACTCGCCACTAGTATCCACATCACTGCCTTTTCTTCATGGAGTACAATGACAGAGTCTCACACACACAGGTTTCTGTTCCCACCCAGTGCTTATGTGACTAGCTCTGGGTGGTGGGTACTCAGTTGAGTGATGCTGATATGGATCTAGCAGTCCAATAGGAATATAGCCCCCAGGTCAACATACTTTAGTGTGTGCAGAAGATGAGAGTAGCTTGGAGTTCCTTGCAGAGTGCTGTGTCTAGTAAGGATAGTACACAGGAAGGGGCGAGGTGCATAGCTTCCTTATTAGTGTGCTAGAAACTGCCTAGGAATTTTGAAAACTGACATGCAAGTTGACCAGTTTAAACTTGAACTAGTAGTTGTTTCTTCTTTCGGTCGCACATAACAGTGCAAGATGGGGGAGCTGAGTCCTGGGTTCTCTAATGTCGTCAACTTTATCTGCCAAAAACACTTATGGTTCCATCCATGCATATTTGAGGACCTTTGGAGCTCAAGATGGAGTAGTCCACAAATGCAGAAGGTGTGTGGA